CAGACCTCGGTGTTCACGCCCGCCTACGGCTCCGTCACCAACGTGCGCATCAACAGCACCATGACCACGCCGCAGGTGCTCAAGCTGCTGCTCAACAAGTTCAAGGTGCGGCGCCCCTGTGTTTGCTGGGAATAAACAGAATTATTTCAGGGCTTAGATGTGTAAAATCTGCATTCCCCTTTCATATTTTTAATTCTTATTTATATTTTTATATACTATATTTATGTAAATTTTATATGTGTATATATTTTTATATTATATTATATTATATTATATTATATTATATTATATTATATTCCCTATATATATAGGTTGTAGATTTATATATCAATATTTTATATTTTTATACATAAATACATATATATATATATATGTGTGTGTGTGTGTGTGTGTGTGTGTGTATACATATATATATATATATATATATGTTTAGCAGAGCTTTGTTTTTCCCCCCAGATTGAGAACTCTGCAGAGGAGTTTGCTCTGTACATGGTGCACACGAGCGGAGGTGAGTGCCCCAAATTATCCCAGACCGGAGCAACCCAAATTATCCTAGACCAGAGCACCCCAAATTATCCCAGACCGGAGCAACCCAAATTATCCTAGACCAGAGCACCCCAAATTATCCCAGACCGGAGCAACCCAAATTATCCCAGACTGGAGCACCCCAAATTATCCCAGACCGGAGCACCCCAAATTACCCCGGATTGGAGCACCCCAAATTACCCCAGATCGGAGCACCCCAAATCCCCTGGATGGGAGCGCCCCAAATTCTCTGATACTGGACTGCCCCAAATTACCCCAGACTGGCGTGCCCCAAACTCCCTGCAGCATTGCCAGCCCTGTCCTGGCACTGCCGGTACCACCCTGGTACTGCCGGTGTCACCCTGGCACTGCCGGTACCACCCTGGCACCCCCGGTACCGCCCTGGCACCCCCGGTCCAGCGGGCAGTGCTGGTACCCACGGGCAGTGCCGGTACCAGCTTGGCACCACCAGTACCACCCTGGCACCGCCGGTATCCGCGGGCAGTGCCAGTCCAACAGGCAGTGCCGGTACCACCCTGGCGCCACCGGTACCAGCCTGGCACTGCTGGTACCAGCCCGGTACTGCCAGCCCAGCGGGCAGTGCCAGCCAAGCGGGCAGTGCCAGCCCCATGGGCAGTGCCAGCAGCCAGGCCGCCGTTGCCTTGCAGAGAAGCAGAAGCTGCGCGGCAGCGATTTCCCGCTGCTGGCCCGCGTCCTGCAGGGCCCCTGCGAGCAGGTGTCCAAGGTGTTCCTCATGGAGAAGGACCAGGTGGAGGAGGTCACCTACGACGTGAGTGTGGGCTCGGCCGCTCTGCGGTGCTGGCAGTCGGGGAGGCGCGGGTTTGGCCGGGAAGGGACCCCAGCCGCGCCCGGTGCCAGCCCTGCCCTGGCACGGACGCCTCTCGCTGTCCCGGGTGGCTCCAAGCCCCAGTGCCCAGCCTGGCCCGGGACGCTGCCAGGGATCCGCTTTCGTGGGAATCCCGTGCCAGCCCCTCCG